CTGTCATGTGACCTGCTGTGATTGGTCACAGCAGGTCACATGGTACCGGCAACGGGGGCCGATACTCAGATCTGTCATCGGCCGTGTCCGAGGTACACGTCCTGTGACAGATCGCACCGCTGCGTGGCTCTGCAGGAGCGCAATCTGCGCATGTGCGGGAGGATGCCATATGGCATCCACCCGAAACGCTGATGACATTTGCCGGCCGCCATTCGGCCATAGGGCGGGCAGCAAATGGTTAATATCTGATATGGTTGGAGGTGTAGTTGAGACCCATTTTTTTAAGATGGTACGTCTTGCCACTAGAAAGCAGGTTGTTAACCAAAGTTTGTTTTTCCTGAGTAGTGTGAGTTGAGAGTGGAAGGGATATGAAGGTGTTTATTCCAAGTTGCCGAAGAGAAGATGTAGCGGGTCTTTAGACAGCTGGTGACAAGTGCAGCAAAGCAGTTTACTTGGTCCCAAAATCTGGATATATGAGGACAAAGCCAAAGTCTGTGTTTGAGGGAAGGCATATGACCGTAGCACAGTGGACAGTGAGATATGGACAAATTACATTTTGAAAAAGCACAAGTCATGTAGGCATGGTGCATGATCTTTAGTTGTTGTTCACGCCAGAATTTGTTTGTTGTGAAGGCACAGGTGGGGTTAAATCCCCTTAGTATTTGGTCTACTGTGATTATGTTGTGGAAGTCTTTGACCCAAGATGCTGTTGGAGATTTCTAAGGGAGTTTGCATAATGTAGGTTTAGTGGGGTGTAGATGTCTGATATCTTAAACTTTGCAGTAAAGTATCTATCAAGGAATTACGAAACCTTACGGTTTTATCAGGAACGATAGTTTTACGATAGTTCAGTACTTGTAGGACATAGATAAAGTGATGGGAGGGTAGGTTTAGTCTCCACTGGGTGTGTTGGAGATTCTTAGGTGATCCAGAAGAAATATCAAACAGTTGCACTACATTTACACATTCATGGGTATTGCAGGTTGCATATGCTGCGTATTGTTGCGAGAGAGGAAATGAATGATTGTTATGAATTGGAAGATAGGGGTTTCCCCATGGGTATTCCACTAACTTATGTATGACCTCTTTCCATGCTTCGAGGGGAGTAAGTATTTTGGCTGTAAGCTTGTAAAATTCTGTGTTGTAGCCGTCAGGACCAGGAGCTTTGCCATTGGCTAATGAGTTAATCGCCAAGTTGATGTCTGCCGATGTTATCGGGGCGTTAAGAGTTTGTAATGCAGTTTGGTCAACTTGCGGGAGGGTGAGTTGTTCCAAAAATGTGTTGGCTTGTGCGATGTCTATTGGATCTGGGCCATATAGTTGAGCATAGAATCATTCTAGAATGGATATAATTTCTTCTGGTGTGTCTTTGAGGGAGCCCTTGGAGTCCTTCAAAGCTGTGAAATGGGTCGGAGTAAAGGGTTTTTTTTTACATAGGCGGGCTAGTAATTTACCCAGTTTGTTACCAAATTTGTGTTATTGTAGGTCTAGGTAGGATTGGTGTATGGTTTCTTGGGCTGGTTTTTTGCTTCTAGCCAAATTTTCCTGTTTTCATGTGAGTTTGAATCTGTCAGGTTTCTCTGAGCCTGTCTGAATTGATTGCTAGCTTCTTTAAATTTATATAGAAGTTTTGTTTGTAGGTAGATGCGAATGCTATTATTCTGTCCCTGAGCACCACTTTGTCGGTTTCCTAGAACAAGTTTGGGGTGGTTTGATGGGCTTCATTCATGGTCTGAAAATCTGCCCAGGTTGCAGCAATCACCTGGGATAGATCTTGGTTGTCAGCCAAGTAAGATGGGAAGCGCCAGATTCTAGGAGGGCGAGTTGTGTCAAGATAATTCAGGGACATGGAGATCGGGGTGTGATCGGAGATGGCCATGTCTTGAATGGTGGACCTGGTAATGTGATTTAGCGATACAGAGTTGCAAAGAAAATAGTTGATTCTGGACAATGTATGGTGGATATGAGAATGAAATGTGTATTCTTTTCCGTCTGGATGGGATAGATGCCAGATGTCTATTAGCTGTAAGAAAAAAAAACCTTTTAAGCTTGAAATTAAAGAACAACTGTCTTGTAAATTCGCTTTGAACAAATTTTTCCTTACCGTGAGTACTTGCAGTTGGATGTGCAGAAATCCCCCATAAAGCTGTGTGAACTTTGCTTACCACGACTGCAGCTTAGCTCCACGATTCCTGCGCCTCCAGCTGGTTTAGCTCTGTTGAGATGTGGGGAAATGGAGCTCCCGCTACCCAGGATTGATGAGGCGACACTCTCAGGTTGCTGTTGGAATTCACATAGAGACTGGCTTCAACCCCAGCCTCCGGTTTTATTCAAAGCACACACACGCCCACACATGAGGGTCAGGTCAATCCCCTCCCACAGAACAATGCATAGGGATGTCCATACATGAGAATGTACATCCTGTTTGGAGTGTAGCATTTCCTCTTATCTATACTGGAAGCCAGTTGAACCAGCCCTCCCCTCCCCCATGAGCTCTTGGTGGAGAGCAAACTTCCCATCCTATCAGCTCCTACTAGTATGTCCATTCCCTGTACAAGCATCCCTTAGATTAAACAGTGTCAGTCTGTATCTGAATGGGCCCGATACGATCTTTATTAAACCACATCCATCCAGATACAGTTCAGGTCGGTAGTGGTTTGTAAGATATACATGAGCCTACACGCGGAGTTCGCACTGCCCGGCGCCTGGCTATACGAAGTCCATGTGGTACTATGCTGCTGATATGTGGATACAGGCCCGCGGCCTACCGCCGGCGGCATTCGCATCGAATGCCGTGGTGGTATACACATCGGTCTATAAGCGCAGATCTGCCATTTCATCCATTACCGAGCTGAGTACTGTAATATTTACATTGTACATGTGCATGGCCCAATTGCAGCCTTCAGAGCTTTAATTAAGCCACATGATAGACATATGGATAACACTAATATATGACACATTTAAAGTTCAACCTGTAAATACAAAATTTCCATGACACAATCCTTTGGGGGTCAACAATGTTGGTAGCTATTTTATTTCTTAAAGAGGGTGCTCTACGAAATAAAAGTAGGCAGCCTATACAAAATGTATTGTGCAAAGTTAGAAAAAGATAACAAAATATACAGCACGGTGGAACCAGTCGTTCCGTAGGAATGGAAGGCAGTTAGTAAAAGCAAACGTTATACCATGAGTTGTCCGATGACATGGGGCTTTAAATTTCTAATAATGGGCTACTGGAGGTGAACTATAGCTCAGGTCCTCTGGAGGGAGGGGCTAGGAAGTGAGCCACACCGTTTTACCCAAAGAGTGAGTTTGGCTTTCAGAGACCAGTCCATGTAGCAAACCGGTTGTATATGGGGTGCTAATTCAGCTGGTGAGAGAGTGTTCCATGAAACGCCTCCATCTGGCGATGAAATGGTGGGTGGTTTTGAGTAATAGTGTGCAGCTTTTCTATGTTGAAAAGAGTGATAAGAGCCTGTTTCACCGTGGAGATGCTGTCAGGAATGGACTCAGCACTGGTGGTGGGACTCACCTGCCGTGTGGGCTGCAGTACCAGGGCTGACCAGCGGGTGCTCTCAGCAGCCAGAAGCTCACGCCTGTAGTCAGCCAACACCTGGGCTGATTGCAGGAGGTGTATTTAAGGAATGACCAGGCCTGTGATCAGTGCCTTGGTGTATGTTTCCCATGAGCCCCTGTACCTAGTATCCTGTGTTCCTGTCTCGTTGCTGACCCTGCTTGATCCTGACCTCTGCTGACCGTCTCCTGTTGAACCCCTGGCTTGCCTGATCATCCTTCTGCCTGATCCTCGGTACCGCGCTACCTGCTGAACCTGGCTTGTGACCCCGACGATTCTCTGCTTGCTCCTCCAGTACCACGCTGCCCGCACGATACCGACCCGGCCAGTCTGACTATGCTTACTTCACCCGACGATCCATCCCACATGGATCACCTCTAGTAAGTTTGCCTGCCTCTTCCCATCAGACTCCGTTCCTGCACTCCCCTGCCAGTACTCGCTACCACAGCCGGAAGCACTCAGGGGTCGCGACCTGGTTCCAGTCTGCACCAAGTCCATCCCACCATCAGGGGCCCTGGTGAATAGCAGGCTGGGACTTAGACCCCGCGCCCTGAGGAAATCTGTGCGGTGGGCTCGTCCTGCCTGACCGCTCCACCTCTCCAGCCCTGACTGCACTGGTACCTATTCGTTTAAGCTTTATTGCACCTGGTTGTACATATTTATGTAAGTGTTGAGTTTGATTGTTTGCACTGCGTTTATGTTTGTGTCGTCTTTAATAAATTATATTGTGTTACACGCTATACCTGAAGTCTGTGTTTCCCTGTGTTGGTCCACACACCTCTGGTCATACCTGGAGCCCTGACATTACACCAAGGCCATTCTTGACCAGAAGTGGCTGCAGTCTTTGACCAGACAGGCTTTGTGTAAGCTGAGCTTTGTTCAGCCAGTACTGCAGATATGGTCAGAGTTGCTACACCAAACCTCAGTCAGCTTGCAACCAACCAGTCCTTCTCATCATTTCTCTGCTCAAAGCTCTCTTCCTACACTCCTGACAGCACCCCCAGTGACAGCCCAGTATACCCTACTACCTACCACTTGTCAATACCCTGCTCCCACTCGCTGCACCTATCCTGCCTTTAACTCTGTAAAGAAGTCCTCTGTAGCAACTGCTCCATCCTTTGTTCTATCCCCCAGCTCTTCTCTGCCTACAGCTGCTCCATCTGTTTACAAACCTGCGCTTACTTACAGTGCTCCGGTAACTAAAACCAGGAAAAGGCGAAAATTCTTTCCAACCAATACCATTCTGCCAGTATCCAAACCGGTCAGTCTGCTTTCTGAGAACCTGCCTTCCATGGTTCAGCCTGATACCCTGATGCCTGATGACCCAGTGTACGCTACCCAGCCTGATGGCTCTGCCCGGCCTGATGGCTCTGCCCAGCCTGATGGCTCTACCCAGCCTGATGTTCCTACCCGGCCTGATGATCCTATCATGCCAGATGACTCGGTGCCCGCTGTCGAGCCAGAGGACCTGATGCCAGATGACCTGGTGCCCGATGTCGTGCCGGACGATCCGATGCCAGATGACCTGTTGCCCACTGTCAAGCCAGACGATCCGATGCCTGATGACCCGATGCCTGCTGTCGAGCCAGACGATCCAATGCCGGATGACCCGGTGCCCGCTGTCGAACCAGATGACCCGGTACCCACTGTCGAGCCAGATGACCTGATGCCAGATGACCCGATGCCCGCTGTCGAGCCAGATGACCTGATGCCTGATGACCCGATGCCTGATGACCCGATGCCTGCTGTCGAGCCTGATGACCCGATGCCTGATGACCCGGTGCCCGCTGTCGTGCCTGGGGACCCAATGCCCGCTGTCGAGCCAGATGACCCAGTGCACGCGGTTCTGCCAGATGACTCGGTACCCGCTGTCTTGCCAGATGACTCGTGCCCGCTGTCGAGCTTGGTGACCCAGTGCACGTGTTTCTGCTAGATGGCTCGGGGGCCCGCAGTCGTGCCAGATGACTCGGTGCCCGCTGTCTTGCCAGATGACTGTGCCCGCTATCGTGCCAGATGACTCAATGCGCGCTGTCTTGCCAGATGACTCAGAGCCCGCTGTCAAGCTTGGTGACCCGGTGCCCGCGGTTCTGCCAGATGACTCGGAGCCCGCTGTCGCGCCAGATGACTCGGAGCCCGCTGTCTTGCCAGATGACTCAGAGCCCGCTGTCAAGCTTGGTGACCCGGTGCCCGCGGTTCTGCCAGATGACTCGGAGCCTGCTGTCGCACCAGATGACTTGGAGCCCGCTGTCGTGCCAGATGACTCTCCCTCCAATGGCCTCCATTCAGTGTCCTCCACCCCTCTCTGCCAATCCCTCCACTGGCTTCCCGTTGCCCAACGGATAAAAATTCAAAACACTAACAATAACGTATAAAACCATTTATAACTCGCCCCAATTTCCAACACCAATTTTGTCTCTAAATATCACCCAAACTGTACTCTCCGCTCCTCGCAAGACCTCCTACTCTCTTGCTCCCTTGTCTCCCATGCTCGTCTCCGGGACTTCTCCAGAGCTTCCCCCATCCTACAGAACTCTCTATCCCAATTTATCAGACTATCGCCTACTCTGTTCACTTTTAGGCGATCTGTGAAAACCTATCTCTTCAGGGAAGCCTATCCTGCCCTCAGCTAATACTGGAATCCTCTACTCTTCCTATCAGTCCATCCCCCACAGTTATTACCTTTTGTACCACTAGCCCCTCCCTCCTAGATTGTAAGCTCCAAGGATCAGGCCCTCCTAACCCTCTTGTATTGAACTGTATTGGCTCCCGTTATATTGTAAAGCGCTGATCAAACTGTTGGCGCTATATAAATCCTGTATTATAATAATAATAATAGTCCAACGTGCTCTGGTAGCTGGTTCCTTCTCGCAATCTCTAAGGTGGTGTCTGAGTCCCAGAATGCACCTTGCTTCCTTTTCATAGATTGAGGAATGATGGGAATTTGTAATAAAACTGAACAGTTTCTAGTTTCTGCAAAACTGTAACTTTATCCCTGGCTCCATTTTGTGGTCAAATCTGGTATTGCAGCAACATGGATATCCTGCTGGGGGCAGAACACTTCCTGCCTGGTATCAATGGATACCTCTATTTGGGTCCTCAGGAGAAAACAGTAAGACCAGAACAGAAATTGGTCCGAGGAACGCCTTTGCTCCCTTTTCCTGTGAACTTTAGCTTCAACCTTTCTGACTCTCCCATCCTCACTTGGAAGAGTTTTGGTAACAAGGCCTAGAAGCCACTCATTTCTTTGGGCCTGACAGTCCTTCACAAGAACACCATTGCCCTTCTTTAAATTAGGTTTGTTCTCCTGCCACTTTCTTCGTGGTTGCAAAGTGGAGTTGTACTTTTTCTTCCACCTGTCCCAAAAGGTGTTCGAAACACTTTGCACTTGTCTCTAGTGTCTTTAGTGTTGAGGTCTCCAGGAGGAGAACTAACTAATCCAGTTTTCTGGGTTAGGTGTTTTGCTGGAGTAAGCAAAATGGGGTCCTCTGGGTCATTTGGGGCTGGAGCCAGAGGTCTAGCATTGATGATGGCTAAGACCTCTATAATGAAAGTTGTCAGACAGGTGCATGCTTTCATGTCTGATCATACAGGCCAACCTGCCTCTATGCCTGTTGACCCATTCCAGTCTGCTTCCACAGCTGCTAATCCATTGCAGCCTGCCACTGTGCCAGTTGACCCGTTCCACCATGCCTATTACTTTGGTTCAGCTCATGTCAATCAAGTCTTCTGCTCTAAACCAGCCTGTCACTGCCTCAACTATGGGTCAGTCTACTCCTAACCCATCCTCAGTTCCCTGCCTTCTGCCTTTTCATTTTCAGGACTGTCAGTAACAAGGCCTCACCCTATCACAATTACATCTGCTCAAGCATGCCTTAGAAGTTCTATCCATTCTTGGGACAGACTGTCTCATTTGATGGAGTAGGGTCCTTAACCATTTCTCAAAGCCACTATGCCTCAAGCCCATGTTCCAGTCTTTCAGTCTGGCCCTCCTGAGCTTCAATCTGATAATCATATCCAGCCTGATAAAGCTGATCCAATGCTCACTGTCCAGACTTATTTCACTGATTCTCTGCCTGACTTCACTGATCCTCTGCATGCCACCCAGCTTGATGGTTCCATGTCTGCTGCACAGCCTGAAGATTGAATGCCTATTGCCCAGCTGGATGGTTCCATGCCTGCTGTCCAGTTGGATGGTTCCAATGCCTGCTTCCCAGCCTTCTTCTGATGCTTTATAGTCTGATGTCCAGCCTGCCTCTGATGGTCTAGTGCGTAAAACATTTCTATGAGAGGAATTATATTTTCATCTTTTCTCCAGTTCAAATCATAGTTGTGTTAAACTCAATAGGCTCCAACAACTCAGGGTCACTTTAGGGTCTCAGTTCATGCAAGAGACCATCTCTTTCCCAACTGAGATAGTTTGTTCTTGCAAATGAATTGTGTACATAACTGTAACGGACCGCCTGACAGTACCTCTATCAGTCCCCTGATAGAGCCTCCCCAGAGTGCGGAGTCTAAGTACCGGAGCACTTGTTCACCAGGGCCCCTGATGGTGGGGATGGACTTGGAGCGCTCCGGGACCAGCCGCAGCTGCTAGGTATCTCTACCAGAGGTAGAGGAGTCTGCCAAGGGCTCCAGCAGATTAAGAGTCTGATGTGAGGGAGCCCAGGGATCCCTGAGGGATGGATGGATGAGCAAAGTCAGAGTCAAACAAGCTGGGTCGGTAACTAGCGGGTCGGTGAGGTACAAGATGATAGGCAAAGGATAGTCGGGTCACACGCAGGGTCAATACCAAAAGATCAGATCTATAAGGGAACATCCAGGAGCAGAGTCAGGCAAGCCAAGGGGTCAGGACAGGAGAAGGCAACAAGGTCAGACAATCCAGATCAGAGTACTCACAACACAGGCAACAGGATACAAAAGACCATTCAGCAACAAGCATCTGTGCAGGGCTAGTTTAAGTAGCCCACCCTGCACCTGACAGGCGCCGCCTAGGTCCCAGTGCCTGCCTAGTACTGTCAAGACGACGGGTGCGCCTGGGTCCTAGTGCCCTGCTACCTGCACGTCTTGACAGACGCCTACGCATGTGTAGACCCATGCGTCGCAATGGTCCCTGACAATAACTGAGGGAATTAAGGACACCTCTCAGTGCAGGAATAATGGGTTTCTAGCATATTCACTGCACTTGGAACTGAACAATATTTACCAGCATTTCCAGTCCCCAAAAATGAGAAGTGTGTAAACACCTTATATGTGTGAATAGGAAGACTTGTGGACACAACAAATTACCAGCCTGGTTATTCAATGACTCACCATTGTTTCAGCTTTGGAAAAGGTAAACATGTATGGGAATTCTATGGCCAAGCAGCTGCATCCAAGCTTTACATCACCAATTGCAATGCATAGCGTCGGATGCCGTGGTGCAAAGCATGCCACCACTGGACTCTAGAGCAGTGGAGACATGTTCTCTGGAGTGACCAATCACACTTCTCTGTTTGGCAATCCAATGGACGTGTCTGGGTTTGGCGGTTGCCAGGAGAATGGTACTTGCTGGACTGCATTGTGCCAAGTGTAAAGTTTGTTGGAGGGGGGATTATGGTGTGGGGTTGATTTTCAGGGGTTTGGCTTGGCCCCCTAGTTCCAGTGAAGGGAACTCTTAAGGTGTCAGCATACCAAGACATTTTGGACAATTTCATGCTCCCAACTTTGTGGGAACAGTTTGGAGATGGCCTCTTCTTGTTCCAACATGACTGTGCACTAGTGCACAAAGCAAGGTCCATAAAGACATGGATGAGTGAGTTTGGGGTGGAGGAACTTGACTGGCCAGCACAGAGTCCTGACCTCAACCCCATAGAACACCTATGGGATGAATTAGAGTGGAGACTACGAGCCAGGTCTTCTCATCTGACATCAGTGTCTGACCTCACAAATTGTGCTTCTGGAAGAATGGTCCAACCTTCCCATAGACACCCTCTTAAACCTTGTGGACGGCCTTCCCAGAAGAGCTGAAGCTGTTTATAGCTGCAAAGGGCGGGGCCAACTCAATATTGAACCCTACGGACTAAGACTTGGATGCCATTAAAGGTCATGTGTGTGAAAAGGCATGTGGCCCAATAGTTTTGGCAATTAAGTGTATCTACGTGAGGGCCCATATTCTGCCAACACAATGTTTACAGACTAATAGCCTATAAATTCTTTTTCTGGACAAAACCATTATAAATATCATGGGTATATTTATAAGTATATGATTTTAAATTGTAACACAATGGATCTATAAAACATTTTATCCTAACATAATATCCCATTGCTAGTAAGGATTCCTGAATATTAACACAGGTTGTTAATGTTATATATTGTTATATATTAAGTGTGTTATTGTCTTTATTACAGAAATATTGTATGTGTGCTGCCATATCTATAATCAATACGTAGTTAAGTATGCCAATTATTAGGTTTATATATATATATATATATATATTTATTGTCTTTTCCTCTATGTGCATAAATAGTATATTTCAATCGTTATATATACAATATCTCCCAGAAGCGAGTCCCCCCTCACATTTTTGTAAATCTTTGATTCTATCTTTTCATGTGACAACACTGAAGAAATGACACGTTGCTACAATGTGACGTGAGTGTACAGCTTGTATAACGTAAATTTGCTGTCCCCTCAAAATAACTCAACAAAATGTATTCTGCTATATGTCTTTGTTATAAAAAAATCTGAATAAGTGTATATTAATTGTTTTGTATAAAAGTTAGAGCACCTACAAACTATGATATATATATATATATATATATATTTACACTGCTTTTACTTGCTGACTATCATATTTCTTCAGGTGCTAAAATGCC